TGATGCTAGAAAGAACAATAAATAAACAAATTACATTGTTTCGTGACCCACTTGTGTGCATGATTTTTGTGCCCTATTTTGTTACTAGAGCTTGTAAAATGTTTACGTTGAAACATTTTCCAAAAGTTATCCGCGCAGCCGGATTGATGTAATTATTACGTAAAGTTAAACAGCACAGACTTCTTTTTGTCTTAAAGATACAGTGTCTGATATTTGAACAAAACCGATGAATTTCGAACCAGGAATCATGTAGTTCTGTAGAATACCACAGAGCAGTGTGCCAGTGATTTGCTAATTTATTTTACAGTGACGCAAAATGGAGGACAAGGGAAATGAAGCGTAGGTATATTTTCTTTTAAAACCACAGGTTCTTTCGGTATGGACAAATCTATTATACTCCCACTCAACCGAGGCGGAAATGCATGAGACTACACTCACAATCCAGTGGTTAGCATGAGCTACAGCGTTACCACATTTCACAACTCAGTTTGTTTTTATGTATATATGTTAATACCACATCACGGACATTCATACCTTTCTTGATCGGAATGGAAAATTGCTAATAAGAATTAGTGCAAAGAATTTTTCAACAAGCCGCGTACAAGTAACAGTCGGTCCTCCCATGAGAACCAAAAATCTGACAGAGATACCTTGTGTTGATTTGGCCTCCAGAGAAAATGAAAACTTCGGAGACTATCTACTAGTCTAAACGACGCTACAATCCACAAGAGAGCCATCCATCTACGTGTTGGTATTATCTGTCCACCGATCCACCGATGTTTACCGCGGCCCAAGTACATTTATTTATTATTGTGTTATTCTTTATAGTGAAAAATATTTAGCTGACCTCAGAAAATATACTTCGTTAATGTCAGTATTTGGCAGTATTATCGCTGTGAATAACTGTTGCAAGGATGTGTGCGAATTGCAACAACAAAAATTAAACCTGATTCTGAAAGATTACTCGAAAGTATAGTCGGCGCAGTAGTTTTTGGCCGGTGAAATTTTCAAGGGGAAGGCTAGGAGCGAGTCACTTGCTGACTGCACCGAGGAGCTCGTCTGACTGAACGCCCAAACAAAAGAAATACACTGACCGTGCCACCTCAGGTACACAGTGTAGGCTCGCCCGCCAGCTCCGCTGGCTTCTCCACCGGCCGAAAACTACTGTGCCGACTATAGCGTCATAAACCTCACTAACGGCTGATTCTATTAAAGAGAATTATTGAGTAATATGTGAACCCATTTAAAATAGTAGGCCAAATTGAGAAGCATTTTTAATAAATAACCATGGTGTTTCAACAAGCTGGCTTTGTGTATAGCTTTGTGGCCCGTGAGTCTATAAGAAGGGTAAATGCGGTCCTCGAAGGAGTTAGTCGATGCAGTATCCTGTCTCTGGTTTAGTTAAGATTCCCTTGTTAATATAATTTATATGGGGGCGAAAGTGAGGTCCTTGTCAATTATTAATTGGGAAAGGTCTGGAAGGAAACGGCAAAGCCATATTTTAAAATACTATTTGGATGGAGGAACTGAGAAAAACAGCAGTAATCTCAGGATATCCGGCCTCTGGGCTGGAAATTGTTTGCTGCATCTCTCGAATACTAAGCGTGCCCCTTTTCTGACTGTACTAATGAGTCTCCCTCGCGAAAGTGCAGGGATTTTCAATCTTTTTCCAAATCTGGGGCAGCAGTTATCCTTTCGACTCGCCTGCCTCAAGGTTATAAACAAGGTCTGTTTATTGAAACACCGTGGGTATTTATTAAAAATGCTACTGGACTAAGCTTACTATCAATTCTGATGACATTAACAAAGCGTGTTTTCTGATATCAGGTAACTGTTTTTTTAAATGCAGTGACACAATCAACGGACGCACAAAACACATAGGCGTGCTGCAGGTTGAAAACCCCTGCACCAGTGTCTTGTTATATAGAATAATTCCTCTCTGGCAGTAAACACAGACATGCTCAAACGCCACTCCCACCTATTTTATGTAGTTACAGGTTCCTCGCGTCGTAAAGTCTCATTTCTTAAACTCTTCGGGTACATTATGTCTATTGTCCGCACATC